CCTCACCACCAATGCCTTGCAATTTTTAGCTGGGCATGTAGTATTTCACTATGGTACCAGCACATGGTTGCCCCAGGTACATTTCCCAGCCTCCCTTGCAGATGCTTGTGGTGACATAAAGTTCAGGCCAGGGCTTCCCTGGTGGCGCAGTGGTTGAGAGTCCGCCTGCCGATGCAGGGGACACGGGTTCGTGCCCTGGTCTGGGAAGATCCCACATGCCGCGGAGCGGCTGGGCCCGTGAGCCATGGCCGCCGAGCCTGCGCGTCCGGAGCCTGTGCTCCGCAACGGGAGAGGCCACAACTGTGAGAGGCCCGCGTACAGGAAAAAAAAAAAAAAAAAGTTCAGGCCAATGGGAAGTGAGAAAAAATATGTCTGTGACTTGGGGGTCAGTGCCTTAGAAGCATGCCTGGAATTTCCTACTTCTTGCTGGCTGGACACAGCAATGAGTGAAGAAGCAGTCCTGGGTCCAGAGGCAGAAGCCAAATGTTGAGAGTGGCAGAGCTGACCGGTCATGAGGCAGAGCTTTGCCCACGCTGTATTGCCTGCCCATCTTTAGATAATTATGAGAGAGACCCTTCTGTTGTATTTAAATCATTCTAATTGGTCTTTTTGGCATAGCATCTTACTAATTAGTTACCACTTATTAACTAACAGAAAAAAATTTTTGGCAACTAATGCTTTTTAACTTAATTTTTCCCAACTTTCCAATTAAAAATTTCAAATATACAGAAAGTTTAAAGGATACTACAATGAACCTACTACCTAGTTCAAAACTTGTTAATATTTTGCCATATTTTCTTTATATATATATAAATATGAACATATATATATATATATATATATATATATATATGTTCATGTGTGTTTTTTTGAACGTCAAAAAGCATCAATGCGCTACATTCCTACATATTAACTGAAGGTAATTTTTAGCTGGAGAAAATGGAGGGTCATTAGGAGTTTCTGGATTTTTTTTTTCAGTTTCTCCATAGAGTTAGTGTTTAATCATCTAGCATTGAAAGAAAAACATTCCTATGAAAACAAAAGCAACATTCCATGTGAACAGGTGCTGTGCCCAGCTCCCTACGTGTTTTCTAACTGAATCCTCCTCCCAACCCTGTGGTAGGTACTAACATTGTCCATTTTACAGATGAGGACACGGAGGCTTGGAGAGCCTGGGAGAAGCTGTTTGTACACACACACACACACACACACACACACACACACACACACACACACACACCCATCCCCTGGAATCCCTTTCATGGTTTGTTGTCTACCCCTAAGAACACCACTGGATGGAAACCCTACTCTGAGTCAGTGGAAACTAAATACTTTTAAATGACCTGTTGTTTCCTATAAATAATTATCAAAGGGAAATGGGCTGAAGAATTTAACTGAAATAAAGATTTTTAGGTAATAGAAAAATCTGATGAGTTTTTTACTTGAGTCTTCAAAGAAACAGAAAAGTTAAGAAAAGATCTTGGAAGAAAAATTGAGAACATTTAATAGATGGAGGTAAAATCCTGGTCAGAGTCTCTTACCCTGCTTAGCATAGCTATCACTTGCTTGAGTCTATCAAGAGCCCTCCCCCCAAAATAAAGAAAAAAAAATTAAATAGATAAAAGGAAGAGCAAGATAAAAAGAACCTTGCTTTCGGGGCTTCCCTGGTGGCTCAGTGGTTGAGAGTCCGCCTGCCGATGCAGGGGACACGGGTTCATGCCCAGGTCCGGGAAGATCCCACATCCCGCGGAGCGGCTGGGCCCGTGAGCCATGGCCGCTGAGCCTGCGCGTCCGGAGCCTGTGCTCCGCAACGGGAGAGGCCACAACGGTGAGAGGCCCGCGTACAGCAAAAAAAAAAAAAAAAAAAAAACATATTTGTGGACTATAAACAAATTCCAAACGTAAAGGTCTTTATAACTTCAGAAGAAGAAATTCCAACAATATGCTTTCTTCATCATGTGATTCTCAATTCCCTCCCCTATACAGAGGCATGAAATGGCTTTGCTTAACATAAAAGTACTGTTCTATGTTGAGTGCAACTGACTACAAAAAGTCTTATATATCTTGACATTAATCTCAGTAAAAGAGAGAACTTTGTTTTTCAAGGGTTAAACCCTAGATCAGTTTCTACCAGCCCGTGAAATTTATCATTTTACTGAAAACTCATTAAGGATCCTAGGACAATGTTTGTAATTGTCTCAAATTTCCACCAACTGGTTTTTAGAATTAAACACCTTTGGGCTTCCCTGGTGGCGCAGTGGTTAGGCATCTGCCTGCCAATGCAGGGGACACGGGTTTGATCGCTGGCCCAGGAAGATCCCACATTCCGCGGAGCAACTAAGCCCGTGCGCCACAACTACTGAGCCTGCGCTCTAGAGCCCATGAGCCACAACTACTGAAACCCGCGCGCCTAGATCCTGTGCTCCGCAACAAGAGAAGCCCCCACTCGCCACAACCAGAGAAAAGACTGCGCGCCCAATGCAACCAAAAATAAAATAATTTATGTTTGTAAAAAAGAACTAGGGACTTGCCTGGTGGCGCAGTGGATAAGACTCCACGCTCCCAATGCAGGGGGCCCGGGTTCGATCCCTGGTCAGGGAATTGGATCCCGCATGCATGCCGCAACTAAGAGTTCAACTAAGGAGCAACTAAGGAGCCCACCTGCTGCATAAGAGCCGGTTCAGCCAAATAAATAAATAAATAAATAAATCTTTAAATAAATAAATAATAAAAAAATTAAAAAGAACTAAACACCTTTGAAATAATTCTTTGAAAACCTTTATAAATGAAGCCATCCCCTTATCAGCCCCTCCCAAACAACAACTGATTTCAAGGTACAAGCAAAGAATAGTGTCATTACAGACCTACAACTACATAAAAATTGTTTTCAAGGCATGTTATAAATGTATAACTCTCACAAAATATATATGAGATAGCTAAATTAATTCTATGGCAATACTGATAGTCTACTACCTTCTCGAAATAAAATAACAAATTATTTCCACTAGAGAGAATTAAAAGAATTTACAAATTGGTTTTCTATTATAGCTATTACATACTTCAGCTCCAGACTGAACCACCTACATGTTCTGCCTTGAAATAATCTCAATATCCTGAGATTTCCTGCTAGGAAAATTAAAGATTTATCAAAGGAAGAAATAGTAAATCCATTTAGAAGTAGAATTCTAAGCTATAAAATATATTACTCCTGGGCTTCTCATTGATGAAAACTGACCATTTATGTACTTCCTTACTATTATATAAGTGAGCCAGAAATTTTATATTACAATGGATATAAATATAAAGATTACCCAAAGAAAAGCTACCACTAGGCTACTGAATGGTATTTAAAATTAAACAAAAAGAGTTCAAATATTTTCAGGGAATCAGAGAACTGATAGCTAACCCTAAGAAAGGAGACCATGAAGCAGCTGAATTTGGGTCTTATATCTTCACAAACACCAATTCCAGGGCCCTCAGTTAGTCAAAATCCCATGAGGCTGTGAATTCTGTTGATCTTTCTCAAAAGTGATGGCTGTTTGCAGAATGTTTAAAAAAAAAAAAAAAAGAAAGAGAAAAGAAAAGCCTGTAGCATGGTGAGAAGTTGCTTTGGGGAAGGAGAAAGAAGAATGAAAACCTTTTCTGGCCATTCTTTACATAGACCCACCTTGCTTCTTCTTAACCGAATATTTCTTAATGAACTCGTGAAACTTGAGCCACTCTCACCGGGGCTGGGAGGCCCTGCTCACCTGTGGGCTCTAATTCAGTCTTTCTAAAATCTGTGTACTTGGTCACTCCGCTCTCCCCCCATGGGAGGAATATCCTCTCCACCTTTCCACCTCTCTACCTGCTTACCTATGGAGCCAGCTAGAGTCTTTCCAAAATTAATGTTAGACAACGTAGCATGGCTGCATTACATACACTGTCAGTCTAGCTTTGCTAGTTTAGAAAACTTTAAAGTTTTCTAAAACAATATTTTCTTGATATACAGAAAAAGAATCACTTCAAATAATTTTCTGGTCTATTTGCAAACTTCCTGTTTTGAAGGTTATGCTTTAATTAATTAATGCACAGATTGCTTCATTCAATGGTACTATTCTAGGTGTGCATCTAGTAGGGGTCTACTAAGGATAAGGTGACTTGAGGCTCAGCACAGCCCTTCAGCAAAGGGCTAAAAATGACCTTGTGGAGACAATACAAAAGTGCTGTCAGAAGTCAAGATAGACAAGATCACACAGATATCATGCACATTCACTTATAAGGCTTATAACTGTGGAGAGGAAAAAACTTTTCCTCTATCATCTTATGTTCAGTCTCTCAGACCAGCAAATTAAACTAAAAAAAAAGATTAATAGGAGAAAAGGTTTATTTTGGATGCACATGGGAGCTGCACAGAGAAGTGAAAACCCAAACAGGCAGTTAGACCGGGAGATTATATATCATTTTACAAGGGGTGATAAATTGTGGTGAAGTGACTAGACAAAGGAAAAGGGGTTTGGGCTTCTAGGGGCAGTAGATTGTGGGAAGGCAAGTATTTGGGGAAACTAATGGAAAAGAAGGCTTTAGTAAGGTTTGTTTGTGGGGACTACAGTCTGTGTTGTTTCCAGTGATAAGAGTCATCTCTGGTACAGGAGAGGGAGGCAACTTTACAAATGGAAATTTCTGTCACCTTTTAAAAGGGAAATTTATGCTCTGCTTTTGTCAGAAAGGGAGAGGGTAGAGAGGTCCTCCTGTGTCTGCTGTTTTTTAATTGCCTTTAGCTCAAAATAGTAATCCTTATGCCCAAGTGGCATATTTTAGAGTAATATTCTGATCCCCTTCAGAACTGTCTCACATGCCTGTTTGCTGCCACATTTCCCTTGTTATATGCTGGTTCAGAAGACTGTTTCCTTATCAACTCCACACTTCCTCATCTGTTCACCATTTAGAATTACAAAGAGAGTTTAAGGATTAAATGCTTCAGTGTAACATTTAGTTTGTAAAGCATCAATTTTACTCACTTCCGGTGTTTGAGTGGCTGAATTCCACATAACTGGTCTCTGAAGGAACACAACCTGCTTTGTAGCCAAATTCCCTTCACTGCAAATTAAAACAATAGCATTAGTATTTGTAAATTAGTAATTCTCTCTATATTTCACACTTGGCTAGAATGTTCCCCATGTGTCCTTTGTTGAATAATCTTCTGATCCAACAATAATTAGGAAATATGATTCTATATAAGTTGCAGCAGATAAAACAGGGGGGAAATATCCCTAAAAACTAAATATGGTCGTTACAAAAGAATTTTTTTTTTTTTTCCCCCGGCACGTGAGCCTCTCACTGTTGTGGTCTCTCCCGTTGCGGAGCACAGGCTCCAGACGCTCAGGCTCAGCGGCCACGGCTCACGGGCCCAGCCGCCCCGCGGCATGTGGGATTTTCCCGGACCGGGGCACGAACCCACGTCCTCTGCATCGGCAGGCGGACTCCCAACCACTGTGCCACCAGGGAAGCCCCACAAAAGAAAATTTTAATGTTTAAAACTTGTCATCTCACTGTGCTAACATACTTAGTTTCATCTCTTTGTGTCACCTCCTACTCTTTATCAACATGTATTTCTGCATGTCTGTAACTTCTGCGTATTTGCATTCTGTATTCTACGCTTATCCTTTTTCTTGTTTGAACAGTAGGATGATATTCTTAATAGCTGCATGATATCCCAAAGAATTAAGATACCAAAATGTACTAAGCCTTTCCTTTATTATTGTAAAATTAGTCTGTTTCCAGTTTTCTGCTAATTGTAAATAATGCTGCTATAAAAATATGTACAGTCTTCCTTATTCTTTATGACTTATGTCCTTGAGATAAATTCTCAGGAGTGGGATTATTAGGCCAAAAGGGTATGATTTAAGCTCCTTGGTATGCACTGTCAAATTTGTCTCATAAAAAGAAGAGACCAGTGTGGGCTGCCACGTGTGAGAAATTTTATATACACTTTCCATTGAGGGACTTCAGCCACAGCTATTTTCATTTTCAGATGCTTCTTTGTAGTCAGCTACTCAATATTCTCCTTATTTAACTACCATCATGGCAAATTACCCCTTGCCAAAGACTACTTGGGGTTTGGGTTTCTCTGAAATGCTTTTCACAGAGTCTCCATGGATTTATGGGGAGGAGTGTCTGTAGTTAATGTTGCTTAACTACGACTTTTATTATGCAAAAATCCCAAACAAAACCTCACTATTAGCTGCATTTTATGCTGAGCTCCTTTTCTGGGAAACAAATGCAACATTGAAACTCTGGCCCTAGTGGTCAACCCCACACCATTTGAGAATCCCAAACTTACTGATACTATTGAATTTTGAGAAACCGCAAATCTTCCCACAAAGTGGTAATGAGAGACTGCTTCTTTTTTATCTTTATTTTTAAAAGACTGCTTCTAGTCTAATCTTATTTTAGTTTGACTCAATCTCTGATTAGAAGAAAAGACTTGTTATGAAATATATCTTAACTTTGGGGAACAAGTTGAATCATCAGGAGACATCAGTTACGACACAGGTAGGGACCAGCAGTGTATAGAACAGGCTGGTTTATTTGGGAGGCTGGGAGGATACTCGAAAGGGCAGTGGCTTTGGAACCAGATGAGCCCTGGGTTCAAGTCTCAACTCTACTGTAAAACAAAGAATGTTGCCCACCACCCAGTTCTACAAGAATCAAGTCATTAGCCACTGCAGCCACTGACCTACAATTCACCGTGAAAGGAATTCCGGTGAAGGCACTCGGTGCTCTGGAAAAACAAGCCCTTACATAGCTGGAAATATTTCAGGAGAAATTTTTTTATGAACCTGAATTCTTACATCTTCCCATACTTAGAAAAGACCTAACGTCATTAACTGAGATACCTGTTCCTCATGACTAACCTTCTACCTGATGTGTGCTTGATTGCATGGGATCCTTCTCCAAAGCCACAAATATATACTGACCTGCCCGCCTCGCCCCTTGGGAGCAGGTCCTCAGAGCTCTTTGAGAGACTGTATCCTGGGCTAGAGTCCTTAGTAAGTCCCCAAATAAAACTGAAACTCACAGCTCTCATGTCATGTTGGTTTTTTTTTTTCCAGTTGACACTACAATAGCCCATGATACCACCTCATAGCTGGTGACTTTGGCACAGTTTCAAAATTCTCTTACATTTCCTATCAGGGCCTTTGTGATGGTTAAATAAGTCAGTGTGTATGAAGAGCCTCCACCATGCCTGTCACTGGAAGGAGCACAGCAAATGGGATTTCCCTCCAGTTCCTCCATTCGTTTAATGAAATGTGGGGTGGGTTAAGTGGGAGGAAAATATCTCAGAATTAAGAATATCTTCCAGAGAAAATAGTCAAGGGAAAGGGGACACAAGAATAGAGAAGACAAAAGGCTTCCTAGGTCTTTTTACCTCTGCGAAGCTCATTGGCACTCAGTATGAATCTTTTAAGATTTAGCTCTTCCTTCTCCTCACAAAACGTATTACTCAGGCACATCAGCCTATAATAACTCTAGCTTACAGAATTTTATGTTAATTAAAATAATTAAAATGTCCCATGTTTTGCCCAAATTTAAAAACAATTCACTCATTGCCTCCCCCCATTGCTTCAGTGAAGGGAGAGATTTCTTAAACAATACACCAAAAAGGGTAAAAATTGATATATTTGCATATTTTAAAATTAAAAACTTCTGCTAATCGAAAGACATCATAAAGAGTAAAAAGACAAGCCACAGAATCAGAGAGATCATTGCAACACACGTAGCAAATAAATTAAGTCTCATCCAACATCTATTTAAAAACTCCTATAAGTACAATTTTAAATGTGGGCAAAAGATTTAAACAGGTACTTGACAAAAGAAAAATCTCAGTGGTCAACAGACATATGAAAATGCGCTCAATTTTAGTAGCAATTTGGTAAATACAAACTAAAACCACCCTGAGATCATACTATCTATACAGTTACCAGAATGACAAAATTTAAAAGTATGACCAATTTTTTGTTGGAGCAATGGGAACTTTCACATCCTGCTGGTGGGAGAGTAAGCTGCAATATTCAACTTGGAAAGAGTCTGGCATTTATATCTAATAAAGCTAAAAAAATGCCCTGTGAGCCAGCAATTCCACTTCCTGGTCTACACCCTTGAGAAACTCATACCTACACACAACATGGATAAATCTTACAATGCTTTTTTTTTTAATTTAATTTTTAAAATTGTATTATTTTATTTATTGAAGTATAGTTGATTATATGACAATATTATGTTAGTTTCAGGTGTACAACATAGCAATTCAATATTTTTATAGGTTGTACTCCATTTAAAGTTACTACAAAATAGTGGCTATATTTCCCTGTGCTGCACAATATATCCTTGTTGCTTATTTATTTTATACATAGTTGTTTGTAATCTTACAATGTTAAGTGAAAGTGGCAACATGTGGAAGAATATATATAATTCCATTTTTAAAAATTCAAAACAGGCAAAACTAAATCGTACTATTTAGGGATTCAAAGGTGAGTGGTAAGACTATTAGGCAAAATAAGGAAGTGATTATCTTAAAAGTTGGGGTAATATTGCCTCTGCGTGAAGGGAGTGGGTGTGATGGGGAAACACATGGGGTACTTCTAGGGTGCCAGCAATATTCTCTGTCTTGCCCGGTGGTAATTACACAAGTGTTTGTATAATTATAATTATGCACATTTGTGTTTTATGCACTTTCTCTATGTGTGTTTTATTAACAAAATTGTTTTAAGAGTATATGTAATGCTGATATGTAGGAGAATGGTTGTGGATTTATACATGATAAAAATTCTCCCTACCCATTTACATTTATTGTTTCGGTAAAATCTGTCTTGAATTCTATTTTTTTTTTAAATTGAGGTATAGTTGATGTACAATATTATATAAGTTTCAGGTGTACAACATAGTGATTCACAATCTTTAAAGGCTATACTCCATTTATAGTTATTATAAAATAACTTGGCTATATTCCTTGTGCTGTACAATATATCCTTGCAACTTATTTATTTTATACGTCGTAGTCGTACTTCTTAATCCCCTACCTCTATCTTGCCCCTCCCCTTCCCCTTCCCCCTCGCCCTCCCCTCTCCCTACTGGTATCCACTAGTTCTCTGTATCTGTGTGAGTCTGTTTCTTTTTTGTTAGACCTATGAGTTTTAAATCAGGAGAGGTCTTTAGGAATTCATTCACCTGTACCTACTTTTCCTTGAATATATCCTGCACTTTGCTGACTCTGCTATGTGCTTATGGTTGTCAGAAAGAGGAGATACTTTGTGGTATTCATACTTCCACTTTACATCTTCTGTGCTCATAGCAGACATCATTAACTGATCACATTCTTTTCTGCTGATCCTGGTTTTAGAATCCTTGTTTTTATGGTGTTTAGGCAGCCACTACACACAGACCAGTGCTGCTGTGTGAGATGACACCTATTTATTGTTCCTGGTTAGCCCTATCTGCCACCAGAAATATTCTCTCTAAAACTACTTTTGGAAGCTCTATTCTTTCTTAACGGTGCCTGCCCCTCAGACTTCTCAGCCTCCACACACCTCCTCTCCTCTTTCACTAATGTCCTCTACCATATTCACCTGCTTTACACTCAACTTTTTTCATTATTGCTTCCCCAAGGAGACTTTTTATACATTTTCTCCCGAATTCCTTCCCGTTGCCCCATTAAATTTTAATAACAAAGATATGCCATGTATCTGTCTATGTACTGTGACCTTTTGGAGGGCCACAAACCTTTGTAATGTCTAAGATTTTTTTCACCACCCCCATAACCAGTTTTCACCCCCCTGTGGTAATGTCACCTCTATTGAGAATATATGCTCTAGACCACTGTTCCACATTCGTTATTTGTGACTGTATTGTCTCTCCAAGTAGATTATGAGTTCCTGGAAGCCAGGGTCTGCCCCTTGAGTGGGTAAAATATTGCCTTATACATACCAGGCACTCAATAAATATTTGAGTTGAACTGAAAGAACTTTGTTTAAAATAAAATGCAAGAATGTGAATTGGTTTGAATACAAACTGAGTTGGTTTCAAATGAGTGGCTTATT